CAAGTAATTTTTGTGGGGATTTTTTTTTTTTTTTGCCTGTACTTTTTTGTTCAAAAGTTTTGCCAGTTGCTATTGAAATTTGCTACAAATCCGGGCTACTTTTTGACTTCCCCTGCTTCTCACCGAAGGCCAAGGAGGGACAGGGTCTTGACTTTCGACTTTGACTTTTTGATAAAATTTAAAAAAAACCTTCACTTGATGAGTTCAAGTCCCGTGATGTGATAAGAAATGGCACACATTCATCGAATTGGAAAGGGGGAGGGGGGTATTTGGCCCAGGAAAGAAGTGCCTGATATAGCTACATGCTGCATGTGTGTGGGAGCATCTCAGTAACCAATGACTATCAGTAAAATCACTATAAACTATCATGATTGTCCACACACACACACACCATCTGTTCAAGCAATCATGATAATTTATCGTGGTTTTCTTATACCTCAATTAGTTATCTTTTTCTTTTTTTAAATTTCACTTTTGCTCACCACTACAGTTCTAGTAGGCCATCCCAGTCGTTAAACCGGAAACCCTTCTACGTCTGCGATACGCAACCAAGATCCTATTGCTGGGCAGTTTTGCCCATGGCATAGCGCGCCTTCCCCTTCAGATATGTATAAATCTGAAAGGGGTATATTACGGATACATAAGCGTTTATCTTAAATGCAGTGTTACGATCTCAGAAATAGGAGACGAATGAAGCCAGAACCTGCACCTTGCTTGGAAGATACTAGACTTGTCTGTAGGCTCTTTTATGTGCTTTTTTTTGCATGTCACATAAGTGAAACAATTTGATTTAAGCAATAGAAAGGTATATTAACGACGAATGAAATAAGAAGAATCAAAAGGGAAGGTGATGGGAAGGAAATTTACGAAATTAATAAAATTATTTTTAATGGGTAAAAAATGTTTCGGTCCATTAAGTCGTATAAATTTCTGACCATTACCACAGTTGGGTCTCGTCAGTACGACGGATGTGCTGGTGGAAATTAAATTTTAATTTAAATTATTTAGTTTTAGTAAGTACTGTCAGCCACCACTAGCCTTTTTCACTTGAAGATTTGAATCAGCTAATACGTTTTCAACAACACCAGTAACTCACCGGGTAATCCATGCAGAGAGTTAATGGTAATTGAATTTTTATAAACTGATAGTTAACAATTGGCCCTTATTCCTGGTTTCTCGTTTCCCCGCTTTTTTCCTAATTATTCCGTAGAGGAACGCTAAATTTTTCTCGCTCTCCCTCTTTGTCAGCCTTCCAACAACCTTCCTTTTCTACCTCTCCCTCGTAACTACCTCTTTTTTTTCAAATTTTTCAGATTTCCAGATTTTTTTCAGGTTTTTTTTCCCAGATTTTTCAAATTTCCAAAACTTTGCATGCACAAAAACTAGGACCCTGGTATCAAATGGTCATGTGTTTTGAAGTGAATGGTAAAAAAGGAGATATTCTTCAGTCTTTGGACAAAATGATGAGAAAATTACAGGAGGGAATGCTGTTGCTCGATCGGCCTCTCAAGTTCGACGAGTTAATCGGGCCTGTGTTGTGGGCGCAGCGAGAAATAATGCCGAAGTTGCTGATTTATTGAGAGTAACACTTTTATTAAAATATCGAATTTTTTTAATCTTTTTCTTTTTAAATATCTGTCGTACTAAATCACATATGTTTTTTTTTCTATCTCACGTATTATGTGCGTGTTTTGCTGCATCACGTACTCTTATTCATAATATAGTTCCGTATGTATACAGCTGGCAAATTTTGCACTTACATTGACCAAAATTTTGCATCCTCGGGTGGTCAGCTTGCCGCTGAAGATCCTGACATTCATTTCATCTCCTGAAGGGATTATCAACTGTTCGATTCTTCTGAAAAAAGTATTTGGCAAGATTTTATCCTTCTTTTACGTGCCTCACTTTGTCCCCTACCTCTTCTCCCTCCACTGATTTTCCCTCAAAAGTATGAAAAAAAGTAGAAAAGACTGACTGTCCAATTAATACATGTGAAGTAGCTTTTCTCCCTCCTTTAAGTTTTCCTCAGAAACATGAAAATTGGGAGAGGGGTGGGAGAGGAGGAGGAAGAATACTATCCCAATTAATAATACATGTGAAGAAGCTGGCAGTGCTAATGTACAAATATCACACTGATTCGATGTGAGACTGTTATGTCAATTTATACTTGCAGACTCATTTTGGTGTTGCTCTGTTTGAAAGCGAAGATGGCAATGAATTCCTGAAAGAACCGAATATTGTCTTTGTGTGCGACGATTTTACGAACTGCTATCGATTCCGGTACCTTCGTTCATGCGGAAAGCCAATCATTGGTCCAGCACTGATCCGAAAACGTGCCGTAGATGGCAAGGTATTTCCAATTAGTCAATTTTTTCACATTTGTTTTCTCAAACTTGTTTCATTACGGCAGAATCGATGCGGAATAAGGTGGGAATCGTCAGCACAGTGTGTGCCATTTCCATTTCCATCGTCTGCGAAATGGGGCACTGTACTGATGATTCCCGTCCCATTCTGCACCGGCTCTGCCTTCTCTGTTATTTACAGCCCAGGGATGAAACACAGACAGGCTGCCAAATCACTGCACATACAGGCGTGTTTATTTGGGAGATCTAAATGGCATTACTTCCTGTGTTTTCGTTAATTGTCAAAATTCAGTTGTGTTCCTCTCCGCGGTGGGCCAGCAGCGCCAAACAAACTGCGTATGTTAACACATAGACGCGATTTAAGGCCCCGTCTTCTTCCAATCTCCTAGCCAGGGATATTCACTGTTTGTATCTTTGAAATTTCTGCAACACCTAGTTTTTTTCATAATATCGTCCTTGGCGTTTATTTGAGACCAAATCACTTTTGCGGTAAATTGATTTTGCCACAAAATGTGTTTTTTCTAAATTTTTTTGATTTTTTTAATCGGTTTTTAATGGATTTCAGCCATTGTTGATGCCTCGTCCGAAACGTCCGCTGTATGTGGATAGCATGGAAGGTGTTCATATTACGTTATCGGGACTTTCCTCAAAAGATTGTTGCGAGGCAGTTGATCTTGTACATTTTATGGGTGGTTGCGCACGACGAAATTTTTCTCCCTCAACGACACATCTGATTACGGATAAGGCCAAAGGACGAACTTACAGAGTATGTATTTTTTTTTTTTTTTTTGGACAATTCCAGTCGATTATTTAGCAAAAACTGTCATTTCCTGTATTTAAAGTATTAGCGGTGATAAATATATATAAATCATGGAAAATATATGAGGAAATAAATGAACAGGAATGTTTCGGTCCATTAGAAGAAAAGTATATTAACAACGGATGAAATATGAGGAATCAGAAAGGAAGGTAAGAGATGAGAATTACAAAATTTGTAAATTAATAGAATTATTTTAATGGAAGAAAAAAATGTTTCGGTCCGTTAAGTTGTACACATTTCTTACCATTACCACAGTTGTTGCACAAATTTTTATTCGGTACCGAAACTGGACCTCGTTAGTACGGCGGTTGTGGTGTTAATAAATTATAAGGGTAGTGTGAATCTGAGGGTGTACAAGGTGGAAATATCTAAGAGAGATATGGGATAATAAAAAATAAGTGATGAAACGTAAATGAAAAAGCAGAGGAAAGCGGTTACTGCAGTGATGCTGTAATCATAGTTCTACGTTGAATAAGTTTGTTTCACGAAGAAACAAAAAGATAAATAATAAAATTACTATAATCTCACTGATTTAAGCAAAGGACCCTCTCTTTTTGGGGATGAAAATCACTAAAAATGGACCCTGAGGGGTAAAAAAATTAATCAAGCGGACAATAAAATTGGTTGTAAAGATAGTATTTTTGCGAAATTCCAAAAATTGCCTGATTTGGCGCCAAAAAAGTGCCTTCTTTGGACAATTGAAGTGCGGAAATGTGATAATTTCGAGACTTAGAAGTTGAAATTTTTTTCTTTCGAGCTTTTCATGGATTATGAGTTACCCCCTCCCTCCTCCTCCCCAGTCGACTTTAATGCTCATTGCGTAGTTCGAGAACGAAATTATGGAGTTACAGGTGTTTCAGAGGTCTTAATTTGGATTTTTTTTTTGTAATAAAAGATTTTTTTTTTCTTAAATTTTCAGATCGCTGTAACAATGGGTTGTCGTGTAATGCATTTGGAATGGTTACGAGCTGCATGGGCGCTCAGAGATTCCGTTCAAGTCAGCGTCACTGACAGCTCTTTCGTCAGTTTTTATCATTTTTTTTTCTCCTTTAACGTAAGATATAATTATGTTTATAATCATGATACTAATCGTGACCAATCTTGTAGCCGTGATAATTAGGATGCAATCATGATACTTGAGTGTTGTGGTACTTGGGATATAATCATGATACTTGAGTACTATGATTCTTAGAATACATGGTATAATCAGTAATAATTTATAGTCTGTTCTTCCAATTTTACAGCTACTGCTCACTTTTCCAGCTGCTTTGACCTAACCTCGCCTGATAAACAGCATAGTGGTGATCTTGGTGTCCGTTTCGTATTTTGAAAAAATAACCAGTTCACTGGATCTTTAGACAAAAAAACTTGGAAAGATTTAGACTTCTTGGGTTGCTTTTTGGTTGATGATGATCACTGCCACCTTGTCCTCACAGCTATCACTTCTTGGCATCGGTGAGCATAGGCGGATCCAGGAGGGCTTCCTAGGAGAGGGGGGTGGTTTGGTCGATTTTCCTCCCTCCACCCCTCGCTAGTGGACCCTAAACTGTGGCGACGACGAGGGAAAAGGTGGAGACGAGTGGGGAGAAGGAGGG